GATATTTTGCTCCAAGGCCTGAGTTTTCAATTAAAGAGTTCAGAAATTAGTTACTTATATGCACATATATCCGTATTGTTGAAATTGCGTTTGTCAAATCCACAACATATAATACAATCTTCAGAATGTAAGTAGTTCATTGTATTTATTGAAACTTTGCTTAGTTAATCTAGAAAAATGCTAGCGATTCAAATGAGAGTTTGAGAAAAGGACATGGCTGTGTGTGGTAAAGTTGCTATTGCAAGTATTATTTGATAGATTTGATGTGTAGTCAATGATTCTGATCATAAGAACGCGAACTCTTCAGCTCAAGTAGGATTTTAAATGCTCAACTTTACTGTTGGTACAATGCACCGCAGCTAGAATACCCATCACTAATGTACTTATAAAGAAATTTCTATTTTTTCCAATATTTTGGGTAGTCGAAGTCTATATCTCTAGTGTTGCCAATCACATTGTGGCATATCATTAAGTGTTGGAAAGGTTAAATTTTAAGCTTCATTTAACCTTAAATTTTAAATTCGGGAAGTTATGTTAGAAAACTCGCTATATTTTTAATTTTTTTATAAAAAAGGGAAGAATGGAACGCAAGCCACCAATGAAATTTGTGAAGTTTACGGAGACGATGCCATATCAGTTCGTGTAGCACAACAATGGTTCGCTCGCTACCATTCTGGAAATTCGAAACTTCGATTTACACTGAAACGAAAATGGCAAAAAGGGGGTCGACCATAACTTTACATATTTCTTTATTTATTTAAACACATATGTATATAGATATATGTAAAACAAAAAAGTTGAAGTTTGATTAGAAATACGAAAAGGCTTTCTCGACTACCCAATATTGCACTAAATTTGGGCGGAGAAATGAAAAATCAAAGACTCCTATGATTCCATAAACTCGCAAATGAAAACAAGCATTATATATTTGATTTAGTTTTTATTTTATATGCATCTTTTTGCGCTTAGACTTCTTTTTTCCTCGACTTATTTAGTTATTTAGGTTAAATTAATTATACTTATATCGCACTCATTCAACTCGCTTATATACAAATGTTCACACAACGCGTGAAAAGCTAAGTAAATATACCAAAAATAACAAACACTTGAGAATTTCATGTTTAGCTTAAGCTTAAATTATTTAAAGTCACATATTATTAGTTAAAATAAATATTAAAAGTGATTTAAAATGTAAAATGCATTAAATACATACATAGATGGATAAGTTAGCATAAGTGTACGTAGTACATACATACGTATAATTGAGAACAAAAGGAATCATAAGGCAACATTTTTTTTTATATACATGAAGAGGCGTGTCACTTGCAGTGATTAGTCGCTTTTCAAAAACAAAATTATAATTGAAATTTGTAATAAATATTTTTGCTAAAAGACAAAATTTTTCAGACTTATTTTCAAATTGGTATTGGGTGGAATAACAAAAACAAAAAAAATAATAATAATAATAAATTTTAGAAAAAGAAAATTCATTATAAGCTCTTAATCACTGCAAGCTCAGTACGCACATTTCCTTATTTTTTACATACATACAATTAAATTCACTATTTTTTCATGATAAACATATTTTCAGCGATTTTTTCACATTTATTTTGTTTCAATTACTAAAGCAACTTATTATGTTTATGCTTTGCAAAATTTTAATTAATAATAATATTTAAATGTCATTCTCACTAAGCATTTTTTTAAATAATTAATTATAATTAGTTACATAATTGAATTATTTGCTAATTAAAATCTTCATTAAACTAACTGCTCAACGCTCATCAGTGCCTACCATTCAGCTTATAGAATTTAGAATTATAAAAAACTAGTTGCTTGACTTTTACTCGGAACTAACTACAGGCTGTTTCGTATATATGTATGTATATGTACTTATAGTTTTTTTTTAACTTTAGATTTTTTCTAATTACATCAGTGATTTGCGCTTTATCTGTCACAAGCATACAATGCATACGTTTCAGTATATACTCTTAGTTTATTTAATATTTTAATAAATAATTTTTGTCATATTTATAGCATTTTCTCGTAGCAGCTAAAACCCTAGGATTGACGTCCATACTTTTGTTATGTATGTTTTTATTTTTTAGTTTTTTTTTTTTAATTTTTATATTTTCATTGACTTGACAAGGACTTGACGCATTTTTATATTAAATTTCATAGATAATTAACGCTAATAATCACAATACGTTAAGAATTCAACTTTCTTCGGTTCGTCTCTCGAACTAAGATCCTGGATCTTTGCTYCTATAAAATTTAAAATTTTTTCTGATATGAGTATACGACGATAATTTCATTGTTCATTGTTGCTATTATGATAAAGGAGGTGTGTGAATGTTTACTATATATATATCTATTTATATTCTAGTTTTTTAAAGTTTTGTTTAGTTAGTTTCGTATTATATAATATAATAATT